CGACCAGCTATGAAACTTTGAGTTTCAGCAAGCCATTGAGGCCATGTGGCAGGCAGGTCAGGGCAGATCAATTTTCTAAATTTTTGAAGGGCCCCGCGGGCCAGATAGAAGATCCTGGCAGGCCGCATCCAGCCCCCGGGCCGCAATTTGCTCACCGCTGATCTAGAGCTTTGCCACTGACGCTAGTAGCCCTTTGCTGCAAACCTTCCCATGTGTCCATGCTGCATTGTGCAGTTCATTGGCAACGTGTGAGGTTCTCCCAGGCAGCTGGCTTCTGCAGGCTTGCACCTGTGGATTTGATTGCAGGGGCGTAAAAAGACTAGCCCCTTGATGAGGCCAAACAATAATAAAATAAATAATAATAAAAAACACCGAGGAGGAATAAATGAATTCATCAGAATGAAAAAACGATATCTCAGTTATTAGACACATGCAGTGAAGTGAAGCCGGCAAATGCTGATGCAGCACTCATGCTCTTAATTCAATCTCTCCATCATCTTCTGCTCTCCCCACTCCCAGCCTCTCCCACCTTCCAAAAGCCAAAGAATAGAAGGAAAAATGCAGACCCCATAAAAGGAAGGCGCTTTGAATTCTGGAGGTGTATGTTGCGTGCAGCAGCTGAAAAAAGGAGAGCGAAAACCTGGCTTGTTCCACTTTACAGTGCAGATTGAGGCTTCTGGAAATTAAAAGCAACAGTGTCATGAGTTGGGGGAGCAGGGTGTTATTCTGGATACCAAGGTGAGTGGCTCACTACTGAGAGAGAGCCTTTTGACCTGTTCCTTCCTGACCAGTATGGAAAGATCACACTCTGCTGTAGCCTATGAGAGTATTAAGTTCATCCCCAGGCGATCTCCAACACCTTGGTGCAGTCAGGGGCTTGTAATTGGAAGGTGATGCATTCTGTGCAATGACAAGATCGCAGACGCCTGGACGTCTTCTGCTTAACCTTTAAGTAACAGCAACAGAGGGTTGCCACTATCCTCATCTGAGCAATTTTTTTTTTTTATTGTTTCCAAGAAAAAATGTAATTGAGGTGGTTTATCTCCTACCTTGGAAATAATATTCTGTACAAAATGGGGTTTGCACTCCAGCTATATTCTTCCAGCTGGGGATAACTGAGGCAGAAGAGGTGGAGAGACAACCACTGTATAAGGTGGGGACTGATGAAGATTAAAGGACAAATACATCTCTGCAGGACAGGGACAGCTGTCCCGGCTTCCAGACAGCTGCCTCTCAGCCACTGGAGATCAGAATGGGTCCCAATTTCCACGTGGCTGGCAGGCAATGTCCCGTTGAACTGGGATGGCTGTTTCCGCCCCTGTGGCCCCCTGCTACCTAATCAGACTGGGGGCAATTTGCTCCTGGTCAGTGTCTACACATGCGCTTTGGCATATTAATTTAATGCACCGATTTCTAGTACCTAGACAATACGGCGTATTACACGAATCTACTGGTAAACAGTGATGCTTTAGCGTGCATTAGATTAGTGTAATGCACAGTAAAGCATCTTGTGTAGATGCACCCAGTGGCCGTGTCCTGACATGCAGTATGTGGCACCGCAGAGCCATCTGCAACACACGCTGCACATGCAGGCGTTGTCCATGCTGCTCACTTGCAGCGTGGGGAGAGGGGGTTTGACCCCAGGAGATCCCAAAACTAAAAAAACCCTGTGCCTTAAAAAAGTAGGGTGGTGCACATGGCAGCAGTGTGTGCCACCCAAAACTGGAGCCTAGCCTAGCCTGCCAGTGCCATGCTTCATCTGCTGGCCAGGCTCCCAGATACAGGAGTGCCACAGCTGCAGCTCCAGGAGGCCCCCAGGACCCCTGGTAAGGCTGCTGGGGCCATCTAAAGTGGCCTGTGCTGTCATTCTGTCTGGTAGATAGAGCTCTTTAGGAGCTTGATTTCAAAACCAACCCAAATCCTGTATTCAGACCCTTAAAAACTGAAATGCAGTTGTATTTGCCTAATGCATGGCACGAAGATGCTGGAGTGAGGACCAGTACTAGCCTTATGTATCATTTAAATCCAGGATTCTTAGGCAGCTCAGTAAGCCTGGTGCTAGCACTTTGTATGGGGATTTTCACCCTTAATCGGAGCAATACATTTGGAAGGACTGTGGGAAGACTGACTTGCTGGAAATTACCATTTGACTGACTGTTTTTAAAAAGCCCTATTGCATCCAGTATCTTCTCAAGATCTAAAGACTGTGCTCAGAGGTTAAAGCACATAAGTGAATAACTAAAAGATGCCACAGCCTCCCTTGGCAAAAATCCTCCAGAAAGTCTTTTTGTATCACCCCCTTCAGGACCTAGATGGACAATGATGGAGTTGATTATTTTGTACAGAAGGCTTGGGCTGGCTTAGCTAGTTGCAGTAACTTATACTTGGGCAGCATTTTGATGTGGTGGAACTTGGGAGGCATTTTGATGTTGCTTTCAAAGCACAGGTAGGGTATAGAGTGCTAGGGGAAAGTGAATTAAGAGTTAGTAGCTAGTGGTGAGATTTAGGGATGGGGAAAATGGGAGGTAAGACTAAAAGGCTGCTGTTAGATAAGGTTAAGATCAGAACTGTTGGAAAGCAGTATACTTACAACCACCTAGATACATAGAGGTGGCAATTTAGAGTCAAGGTAGGGTACCATAGCTTTGGAAGTAGGATTAAAGCGATGTTGCAGGAGCCAGCACTGTGGCTGTAGGGGCAGCAAACTAAAACTCTTTGAAGGAGCTTTAGTTTGCTGCACCCCTAGTCATTTAAGGTGCATTACGCTGCCAAATTTCCTACAGTGGCTGGAATTTCACTGCTTTAATGGCGAGTCATGCAAACACCAACACCATTAAAGCAGTGAAAAAGCATTTAGCCTGCTTTAAAGTGTCGTGCACATGCCTCTTTTTTCCGTCTACACACGGCCTAACTGACTTGCTGTAGGGGAATGGAGTTCAGATCCCTCCTCTGTTGGCAGCCTTATGAGTGACCTTGAGCAAGTTGCTCACTGTTTCAGCTCCTTGTCTGTATGATGGGGATGATATCATACCTTTGTTTCTCCCATCTACTTTGACTGCAGGCTCTTTGGGGACCACATATTTCTATACGTAGGTAGGTACAACATCTACTGCAGTGGGGCCCGGCTGCCTGGAGGCAGCGTTGAAATATAAGTAGTAATTGTTAGCTGCTGTAGTGAATGGTAGATTCTCAATGGAGTTTAGTTTTAGAAATAGTATAGCGATCGACCCTAGAACAAACAAGAGCCATTGAGCCTTTGGAGACATGGCACAGAGTCTGCTGCCTCCCTGTGCATTCCCCTTTAAAATATAGCCTCTGCTCACATTTGAGCCATGACTCTATTCCTTTTGTTTTTCTGCTGCTGTTTCAGAAAGAGACGCAGCCACTCTCCCCAGCTGGGAACACCACACCACATCTGCACGACTGTCCAGACACAATGACAGATGTTGTTTGCTGGGGCACAGTCCGAAAGAAGGAAGTCACAGTGCTTTCTCTTCAATGATAGAAGGGTTGCCAGGAGCAGAATCGATCCCGTTGCCTCTGCCCTTCCTCAGCTCTTCACTCCCAAACCTGGAAGCCCTTCCCTATCCCTTGAAAATCCAAATGAAAGCTTTTCCCTGTCCCCTTAACTCATTCCCTAAACCAGACACCCACCCAGCCTCCTCTGCCTGTCTTAAGTCCAGTGGCATCTTTGCCCCTGCCACTAAAATAAAGTGGCTGGCCCTCTGGCGTGAAACTAATGTTCTTGATGGATGTACCTCTTACACCTCCTCATGGAAAGAGAGCAAGAGGCAGGGAAGGCCCATCCGTCACTGCATGTGAGAGAGAGATGGGAGAAAAAGAGCCGGGGCCTGGTTCTTAGAAACCAATCAAGTCAGCAAATGGTATTCACTCTCTTTAATTTTTTGTGTCCGAGGAATCAACTTGGCTTTATTTCCCTCCCAACTCTCCAGTGTCCCCTTTATTCACTGTCTGTAGTTTTAATGCCTTTCCCTTTAAATATAGGGGAAAACACCATTACCCTGCAGCCTGTCAAGGGGGAAAAAAAGACAAAAAGGGGTTGTGGGTAAGGATGGATGGAAGAGGTGGGAGAGGCAACCAGGCAGCTTGCCCGGTTAGTGGCTCTGGAGTCTGGTGAATTTACTGGAGGTCTTCAGTTTTCAAGAGGCAAAAGATTTTTTTCCTGCTTGCTTTGGCATGAGCGCGAGAATTATCTGGATGGAAGCACAGCGGGGTATCAGCTTCTATCTACTTTGCATGCTGTGAAATGTGAATTGATACAGTGCTGATCATTTGAAAGGGGTGGGGATGGGGACGGATGTCAGTGCATTACGAGCTCCGACAACAACCGCTTTGCTATGAAAAGATCTTTCTTCCCCCAGCACACTGCTACCTTTGGAAAGACCCTCCTGATAGAACAGCAATAATAACAATGCCTCCACTCAGATCGTTATTTATAAAGCTTCTTGCAGGAGACACAGTCAATTTTTTTTCTTTTGTTTTGTTTTGTTTGTTTTTTCACAGTAGCAAAATTACTTTTACGCCAGGGATTTAAGTAACAACATAAAGAGATGGTGCTTAAATGGAATGTAAATATAGAACAGCCAACTGTAAATAAATAGGCAGGTAACGAGAGCAATAGCAAAATATTGTCTGATTAGACAGCATCCATCAGTTGCAAACTTCTGAGCTAATCATACCGTGTGTCAGTCAAGGCTCTGAACTCAACAGCAGTAGAAAGCACAAGCAGGGCTAAATATACTCGTGTTGCAATCAGTGGCTTTGGAAAAACTCCTGCCATCATTGCTAGCTCAGGCACAACATGACTGCCGTAGTGGAGAAGGTCAGTTCATGGGTTTAAGGCAACAGAGGACCGCGGCGGTAACCCTGCTTGACCTTCGAATAACCCAGTCTATAATTCCTGCAGTGGGTGGAATTATTTTTCTGCATTGCAAAAGTGAATGCTGACGAGCCCAATAGCTTGCAGCTGAATTGGAGCGTGCCATCTTATTTCAGTGTGAAGTTTTGAGGATATGCTCCTCCTGCCTGTCCTTGAAATTGGTCCATTCCAGAGACTTTAAGCGGAAAGGCAGTGTGGGCAGTTATGGACTAACTTAAACTTTGGGGAGATCCCTTCCCATCTCCCAAACTTAGCATATAGCCAGCACGCACTTTTCTAATCCTATCTACTTTAAGCACAGAAGTTCATTCTCATTATCCAGATACCTGTTGAATTCTTTTTGGTTGCTGCTAAGCTGTTGGACCCAATGGGTGCCTCTACGCAAGACACTTTACTGCACAGTAGACTAATCTACTGCATAGTAAAGCATCACCGTCTACATGTGTGTGGCATTTACTGTGTAGTAAATTAGTCTATTGCACAGTTAGCTAGTACCTATAAATACAGATATTAGATTAACTGTGCAGTTACTCTGCAGTAAAGCTTGTGTAGACACTAATCAAGAGCAAATTTGCTCCCAATCAGCCACACCAACAGAGGGTGACAGGGGAGTTCTCTGTCCCTGGTCCTGGTGCTGCTCAGCTCCTGGCTCCCCCAGGAGTCAATCAACTGGGATGGGGTCACTCTCTGCCCCTGCCCCATCCTGAGAAGGATAGCTCCCAGCCAGCCCCTGACTGGGCAAGTTATCCCTGTCCATCCAGGGGCTTGCGGGCAGCTGCCCAGGAGTGGGACAGCCCTTGGTGAGCCCCTTGTTGGTCGGGGAAGCCGCACTGAGCATGGGGCTTGCTGACAGCTGTGTGTCTTGATATGCATGGGGCTGAGAGCGCTCTGCCGGCTCAGTGGCAGTTGTCTCCCAGCCCTGTGCACATGAAAACCCCACCTGATGTGCACAGGGCCAGAAGGCAGTGGCTGCTGCAGCTGGCAAAGCTTTCCCAGCCCTGCACATATTGGGACCAACCCTGTGCCCCCTGCCAGCCTCTGGACTAGCACCCTGGGGGAGCCTGGAGCATCCCCTAGCTGCTGCAGAGAGGCAGAGCGGGGCAGGAGCAGATTTGCTCCTAATAGGGTGCACAACTAGGCACGCTCCCGAGGAAGGCTTGGTATGCAGTATTTTACTACACAGTAAACTTGTATTGCATTGTGTAGATGCATCCAGTAAGGCATAAACAATAGCTTGAGGGCAATTTGAAAACTCCAATATGGCTGCACATTTTCATCAAGTAGGTTAGATTCCCAGTTGATGGGCACAACAACAAGGAAACTGAAATGAAATTCATTCCCCAGATCAGAATACTATCATATTTCAGCAGGCTTTAAATTCTAGAATGGTGTCTAGGATTTACTTGTGGATTATATTAAGGTTGAACTCTTTGGCAATCCCTCTGTCGAGGATGATTTTCTTCCGCTGTTGTCTTGTCTG